ATTTGTTCCCCCAAATTATTTATTATTTAACTTCTGCTTTCCATTGAAGCCTCTGCATGTCCCTGATAAAATGTCAAGTCAATTTAAAGATGATACTGCGCTCTTGTGACATTTTCATCCAGGATGTGACCGCATTAAAGGGAATGAAGGCAGAGAGAGTAGCTGACAGGCCTGTTACAGAAAATGAAATAGAATTCAGTCTTTTAGCACGGCGACCAAGTCAGTCGCAGGCCCGGTACTGTCACACCTGCTCTCGCCGGCGGTGACACCGCGTAAGCGGTGCGGAAACCATCGTTCTGCTGGGCAGCGAGCGCGCGGGGGCGTGGGAGAGCCGGGGCAGAGGGAGCTGGGCAGAGGAGCCGTCCCCTCGCGGGTGACACGGGCCACCGTCCCGACGCAGAGAGCCCTGCCCGCACAACACGCCGTTGGCTCCCGCCTGGCACCGTGGGCAGGTGCGACGTTCGCGAGGCCGGGATTCCAGGAAAGCCCACGCCCTCGCGCAGCTCTGTGCAGAGATACAAAAAGGCGTAGCCGGAGCCGCAGCGCTGATTTCAGAACATTTTTGTTCTTGTCACACACGGCTGCCACACCGATGGTGATTATTTTTGTGCAACATCTGGTCCGCAAATCAAACTGCCTCCGGGGTGCGTTGCAACGTGCCCGTCCACAAAAGCTTTCGGCGCCAGCCGGCATCGCCTCACGAAGGATCATCGTAGGGCATCGTCGTGCAAAGTGCCTTTTGGTCCACCCTTCCGAGGAGCGTTTAGCGAGGGAGAGGATTGAGGATTGCCAGTGCTTTTGCATTCGGGGGGGGTGGGGGGTGGGGGGGGGTGGGTTTCGAGGTCCTTTGCCCCTTGGACCGCTCTCTCGCGACATTATTGGAGCGTGATGTCTCTGCTGACGTCTGACAGGCGGTTGTTGGGTGGGAATGACGGGGATTGTGGTAGGGCTCCCCGCTAGCCTCCAGGGCCTGAAGGGAAGCAGAAATCCTGCTTGTAACGCTGCGCGCTGGTCCCCAAGGCTGCTGCAAAAGCAGCAGTGGGAGGGAATTCACGCTGGCCCTGGTCAGGAAATGTGAAGCAGTCTGGAAAATCAGGAAGAGTAAGAGCCCCCCAAGTCAGTGGTCAGATTGGCTTTTGTTTTCAGCTCAGAAAGCAGTTTAGAAAGCAATCTGTTGAATGGATGTCTATACCTACTAATACCTCTTTAAACGGAAGAAAAAAAAAAAAAAAAAGTGTATTTTGCTGTTATTTTGGTGATGTGCTGTTGTAATTCTCTTTACGGTAGCTGTGTGGTTTTTAAGCTCCAGCGTTATCATGTGCTTCTGTAAGGCTGCAGCACTGCAGTTCAGGCATTCAAGTTGGTGAATTTAATTTTGCTGCTGGGGTTTTAATATTCCTCCATCGTGCTCATTCTGTTTGAGGCTGTGGACTAATTACGGCCGAGTTTAAAGGGCCCGGTCTGTCACACTCCACAAACAGTTTGAAGTTGGAGAGAATCCATTTGAAAGAATGAGGAGGCTTGGCAATGCAGCTCGTAACTCAAGTAAATGTTGCCCAGATGCCTTCACGCAGTAATTTCATAAATGTGTGTATATATATGTGTGCGTGCACGCTTGTGTAGCTACCTAATGAGGTGGTGAGTGCCTGAGACTCGGGTGCCATCCGAGTTTTCTTAGCCGGCAGGTAGCACCATCTGTGTCGCAAGACACTGTACGTTAGTGTCTTCATTCGCGAGCTGGCCACGCTAAACCCTGCTCTTCGGGCCAGTGCCAAAAAGGAATCGCGATCAGGTGAAGCGCGCAGCTTTGCAGAGGCCAGCGGTTCCTTTCTGGGACGCCTTTAACGATAAGTCTGTCCTCTGGTGAATTTCTGTACGGGTAGATTTTGACAGGCCATTGCGTTGTTTTACTTCTCCCCGTACAGCAGATTTTGGCTTCTTACTGATGAGAACCGGGAAGAGTAAGCCTTTCTGTTAAGATGGGAAGGACCACGTTGAGGCTCTTTGTTTACGTGCTTTCGGCGGCCTCTGCGTTGCCACGTCTCGTAAAGCCGCCCTTTTTTCAGCACCAGCTTACCATTTTAACTGCCAGGCATCAGCTTCGTGCGGCCGGGTGACCTTGAAGGTCCCTTCCGACCCGAAGCGTTCCGTGACTCTGATTGTGGGACTGCTCTTCACGCCTACAGCTCAGGACCGGAACGGTGCTTTTTGGTGGTGACAAAGCCTTCCATTGGCTTCGTTCAACCTCTGCTCAGTCAGAAACTTATCCAGAACCTTCTTGTCGCTCCGTATTGGAGGAGGAGAGATGATTTCTCTTCCAGGACATGGGGCAGAAGCCTAGTCTCTGGGGTGCTGCGTGGCTGGGCCGGCACATAGTGGACGTGGCTATTCTTGAGAAAGCGAAGTGGAAGTGCAAAAGGCACGTCCCGGGAACCCAGGAAAGCACGTTTCCAGTCGGCCAGCCCACCCGACAATTGTAGGCTGTCTTGGCAGCGGCATCGCAGGGCCGGGGATGTTCCTCCCCGCGCGGGGCAGAGCAGCGCTGGAGTTTGGTATGTGCCCACTCGGCCTTGTGTTCGTTGATTCCACGCCGAAGCAGCGGTGGCCGTTGTTCTCTCCTTCGCCACGCGACCTCTGCGGCGGTGTGCCTGTGTCGGGGGGGCGTTCTGTGCTTTTCGTTAACGTGAGATTATTCCTCTTCGGAGCGCTGTGTGTCTGCCGTCCTTCTGCTCAGCGAGGACTCTGGGATTGAGAAGGACTTCCAGAAAGCTCATTCTAAACTTTAACTGGTCTGTGTTTCCTATTGCAACCATCCAAACCATTTGCTAATCATAACTTTGTCATTCCAGCTGCAGCCAACATGTTGTTTGACTTGGATATTTGTTCGCACTTACAACCGCTTGAGAACTTTATTTTTTGTAACCTGTTGGTCTCTGTCCCCAGACGGGGAAGCGAGATGCACTGTCCAGTTTGCACTCTTCCTTGACTAATATCTCTTCCAGCACGTCAATACAAGTTTGCTTTCAGCAGATTCTCTATTTAGTGTAAAAGCTGACGTAACTTTTTTTTATTTCAGGAAGACAGTAAATTGAGACTATTTATAGATGCCAAGATGCTATCTCAGGAATTAATACTCAGTTTTACAACCCTTTCTAAACAACAGCTTTCCCACCACCCCAAACCCGCCCCCCCCCCCCCCCCGCCCCCCTTCACCCCCATCTTCCCCTTCACCATTCGCTTGGTTCAAACGAGGCATCGTTTGGGGATTGCTACTCGAAAGCAAAGACAAGGCCCGCTCTTGTTCTCCTTTTTGCTTTGGAAGGCTTCCCTTGCAGCCTCCGCCAGAGCTCCAGCAGGAGAACAAGCGCTAGCGTCTTTGAGCGTGCGTTAGACTCGATTGCCAAGATGAGCACAGTATACGTTGGCAGTGGGAACAGGCTAATGACGGCTTGATAATCTGTTATGCAAATCTGGGTGCACTTTGTTAAATTGTGCAGGGATTATTTGTTTTGCTTTCATCACTAAAGCATGTAGACCTCGTATCTGTAAGTATTGTGTACTCCTTGTATGATTCTTGTCTTCACTGGTGCTTCAGAAAGTCAGACCCGAGCTGCCCTCAGCTAAATTGCAAAGGGACGGGTCTTCCCTTCTCCACCGCTGGCCCTGCCCGTGAGGAGGACGGCCCGCCCCGGGGTTCTCCGGCCAGCACGTTAACGAGGGGAAACGCCGATGTGAAGTGTCTGTCCTTGCTACAGAACTCAAGCTCCGGGCTGCCTGGCAGAAACGCGCAGTCGAGCGCTTCCCTGCGCGGCGCACTCACACGATTTTGCTCATTTCAACATTGCCTGCACCAAACCGAGGAGGGTCGTGCGAAGCCTGGGCCTTGCCGTCGGCGCGAGGGTGCCGGTGGGGATTGGCAGAGGTGCGGTTAGGCTGCGAGCTGCCAGCCTGCTAAAGCCAGGAACGTCACGGGAAAGGTAGAACCAGAGGAAGACTGAGGGAGTTTCGGTAACTAAATAAGCTAGTAATTTGGATAATGGGAATAAATAGCTCTAGTGGTGCAGAGGAAGTACCGTAGGGCGCTGTCAGAAAACGCCTTCCGATTTGGGTCAGTCTTTCAAGTTGCCTGTTGGGAACACTTGCGATGAGATGCAACATCTCTCCGTTGGCGAGGCAGCAACCCCCGAGAAATTTCCAGTCGCTTGTAATACGCAGGGAGTACAGTCAGCCTCCCACCAGCGTCCCAAAAAGCTTCCGTATATTTTCATTACCGGTAGCTGTTAACCAGTTACCGGTTGCAGGAGAGGGAGAGGTGAGGTCCGTCTGTGTTGGCCAGTTCTAGAGCAACATTTTTGACGCTGAAAACGCTGCCCGTCTTACAGGTGCGCGGCTCAGCGTAGCCGAGGCAGAGGGCCCCTCGCGCCTTCGGTACTCGGGGTGAGATTTCTAGCAGCCGCCTCATTTTTCGCATCTGCTTGCCGCCTCTGAAACGGTCTGGGCGCAGGGGCTGTGCCGGGTACCGACGCGCGAGGAGGTTCCCTGGGACGAAGGAGGAGAAGGGCTGGGAGCCCCGGCCCCGGGCGCTTCGGTGAAGGCAATGTTTGAATGCGTAAAAACTGTTCTCCGAGTGTCGGCAATTTGTCCTGGTCTTGAGCTTCTGTTTTGGGCCTTACCAACTCAATCGTTGGTGTCGGTGTTCTCCCCCGTCTGCTGTTCCCCCTGACTTTGCGACCACCAGTAATTGTTCTGGCAAGGTCCTGGAAAAAGAGAGAAATTTACTGTTTTCCTCAGGCTCATAGCTTTTGAACTGGAGGCATGTCTTCTAAACAGTGCAACTCACTTCAAATGCTTTTTGCCTTTCATTTTATTATTGCTTGTCACGCAATGTTCTTTGAAAGCTTGCTCATATATTATCTGTTCCATTTTTTCCATTTTCCCTTTTTTTGCATGCTGTTCCTCCTGTTTCTTCCCTTCCTCCAATCCTCTGTTCCCGTGTGTAGACACAACGGCGACGACAGAACCGGCAGTTCACGGTTGGTATCACATTCCTGTTTATCTTATTTCTCAGCGCTGCTGAGTGGCAAGACAAGCCTGGGAAGGGGAAGCAAAAGAGGGAAATGTAGTCTTCAAGGGAAAACCGTGTTTCAGGTGGACTGACCTCGTAAATATAACAGAGTTTTTAAGGCTGGAAAGTCTGTCTGGGCTTGTCGTTCCTGTTGTGAGCTTCGCAGCTGGTTGTTCTGGTGCCAGGGAAGCACCGATCCCCCGAGCCCCGTGGAAACGACGGATGCGTACGATGCCGAGGAAGCGAGCGATTCTCCGCTCCTCTTGCTTAACGGGTAATCGCTTCACACGCAAACAAGAAGTCCGGCTTCCGAAACTAGGACAGCAAGTTTAATTTTTTAAGAGGTGCTGGAAATCGTGAGCGTTTTTCCTCCGTGTTGAGTTGACAGGACGGCGCGTCCGGCGGCGTGGGCCAGCCTTGGGTTTTCCGGGGATGCTCCGCAGAGCAGCGCTCGCCTCGGAGGTCGGCGGCGAGGTTGCGTCGTTACGCTGCAGAAGGGGATTCGGAAACCAAATAGCAACACCCTCCTATCGGCGTAGCAGTCTAGCGAGCTAACCCTCCTCATCTGCTCAAGGCAGCCTAGCTAACAGCTTGACAGCTTCCTTAGCTTCCTACATTTTCAAAGCGAACCTGAATAGTCACTTCAGACTGGAAGTTGAGCATGCCGCTTTTTGGCACGAGCTCACTTTTCAGCTAAAGAACCAAAACCTCTTGACGGTTTTAATGAAGGCTAATCCATATTTGAGTTTGCTCTTTAAGTTCCTTTTGACTCAGATAAATCGACCGTTTCTGCTATTGACAGAAATCTGTAACGCTGAGCAACCTCTTTTCCCTGCCTGCCGCCAGCGAGGCGTGTCTTGGGCGACGATAAGAGGGAGGACCGAGGAGAGTGACGACGAAGTAGTGACGCCCCGTGCCAGGTGGAGGGACATGCACTTCTTGTCCCACATACCTCACCTGCTTGGATGCATTTTCCCTACTTGACATAGAAATTGGAAGCCTTCAGGCTCACTTCTCTTTTCCGTACGGTGCCGGCGGCCCTACGTACCTTTAGCGTCGAGATTCCACAGCGGTAGTTTTTTAGCAACTGCCGTCGAAGTCGTGGCAAGGTAGTAGAAGTCCCAAGCGACGTCTCATCCCACACGACGCGAACGCTCGTGGAAGTCCGACGGAGGCACCGCGTGGATCAGCCGGCCGTGGGCGAGCCCGGAGGAGCTGGCCCCGGAGGCGGCAGCACAGCTGAATTCCCCGCGGGTCTGCTCGCTTGCCTCCGCGCGCGTGGGAAGGGTCCGGCTGCTCTTCGAAGCACCAGCCTGGCGCGTCGCTCTCTTGGAAGCGGCCGGGGGGTCGGGAGAGCCACGGGGCTCCCCCCGAAAGGACGCCGGGCTCCGTGCCCTTTCGCTGCCCGGCGCCGTGACCCTGGCCGGAGCGGGCGCGTCGCACCGTGCCGGTGCGGATGCCGGTGTCCCGCTCCAGCAGCGCCTCAGGGCCGAGTACGGGGAGAGGGGTCAGGGCAGAGTCCTCAGCGCTGCAGTTCGGCCGAGACGCTTTCCCTCTGGCACTGGCATGTGCTGAGAAGGGGTAGATGCGTGCGGGCGGAAGGAAGTGGTCCAGGTTTTTTCTGGTTTTCCCGGAGAAACGCTAGAAATGCGCAGGGAGGGACGCTGGATCTGGGGAGGAGCGGGCAGCCCTGACAGCTGCGTGACTTCTGCCGCCGGGCCTGGGCGTCTCGGCGAGTGGCTGCTGCCGAAGGGCGCGCGCGGCCCGGCAGCCCCCGGCCCTTTCCTTGAGTGCAATTCCCGACGGCTGCTGTCGCTTGTGAAGCGCGTTGCTAGCTCGAGGACGGCCTCCGAGTGTTTCCACCTCGGGGCTGGGGGGGACTGCTGCTGCGAGGAGTCTGACAGCCGCAACGACAAGCAATCCCGCCGCGACGAGCCGCCGCAGACTTTCCTGCCTTAAAAGCCAGCCGGTTCGCTCTGCCGCCCCGGTGCTTGCCCTCGTGGGGTGCTTTTCCCGTGAAGACTCTGGGATTTCTTTCCAAGCTTGTGTTGCTGGAGTGTGTATGGAGTATACCAGGTGTTTCTGTATGTTGGCCATTTGTTCTTACCAATGTCCGATGGGAGTGAGCATGTCTGTGAATGACTAGAAATGCATGGGCATGAACTACAGCCAAATGGATTTTCTCCAAAAACGGTTTTAAATGAATTGGGGGAAGAAAAAACAAAAGCAAAACCAAAACAAAAAAAGAACCCAAAAAAAAAAAAGAGATTGATAGCAAAGAAAATGGAATGTAAGGCTAGTGTGGAACCAGCACAATACCTCAATCGGGGCAAGGATTTTTGAGTCCTTTCATTTTTTGGAGTGTATCCTAGAGGACTGGGCGGGGGGAGAGGAGTCCTGTATGTGTGTGCATGTCAAAGCGGTAGCGAAGCCCCTGCCATTCCTGTTTCCCTCGGGAATGGAGCTGACGGCAGCGATGCATGAGTGACTTAAAGCACGAACGTTGTTAACTCTTTTGTTGAAAAATGAGAGCTTAACTGTAAATTTTCTGATGCACTTTCTCCTTTCTCTGCACTGTTCATTGCCAGCACTCCAATAACAGCATGGTCATGGCCGGCAGGAAGGCTTGTGCTTCGGCTGCACCGCGCTAAGCCGCGCTTCCCGAGCTTAAGCCCTCCTTCCCCCTCCTTTTGCCCTCCCGGTGCAGGGTGCCGGCGGGCCCGGCGCGGCAGGTCCCTGCCAGTTTGCCGCTGGGCTGCGGGCAGACCTCGGTGGAGCCAGGAGAGTAACGTCTCCGCGAGCCTGCCGCCGCTGAATCCGGAAAGAAAGCACCGTTTCTGCCCTGCCCGTTCTTTTCTTCTCTCCTGCCCCTCTCCCCCCGCAAAATCAACGTGCGAGCTTCGCACCCCCCAGCCGCCGCTGCTCCTCGGCGGGGCTGCCGCCCCTCGGGAGAGCTGCCCGGCTCACGTTTCGCCCCCTCCCCGAGCAGGACGTGTGTAAGCAGCCATGACCTTATCCAGGCCACCCTTTTGCCGCCGCGAGAGCGCTGGCTGAGCCGCGCCACTCCTCCCCACGTTCTGGCCCCGCGCTGCGGGCTGAGCTGGAGGAGCTGCTGGTTGTCTGTGCCGGCCCCGGGCAGCGCCCACGGCTGCGGGTGACGGTGCCAGCGCGGCTGGGGCAGCCCCCCGCGTAGGGGCGCGCGCTCGGGGACGGGGGACGCGCCGCTCCCCCCGCCCGGGCGCAGGCAAGGCGCTGCTGCCTCGGCGCAGGCACGATTTCTGCTCATCCTCATGGAAAGGTGGGCTGAGGGAAAAAAAAAGAAAAAAAAGAAAAAAAAAGAAGGAAAAAAAAAAATCTCTTCTGAAGCTGGCAAAGCAGGAAGCCTGGAGCGAAGGTTAAAATAACGAAAACGTCCCACTCGTGAATGAAGAGTGACAAGAAAATACCTTGCCCATAATATAGCAGGTAAATTATTTCATAAGCTGGGAATTCTTCCCCAAAGGCCCGTAGCGATTTTTAATTATGGCCTTAGCAGGGTTCCCGACGAGAACATTTGACGCTACCGCGGTGAGCTCTTGCTGCTTCTTCCAGCAGCCCCTGCTCACTGAAATCGAGCTGAACTTGTCCGAAGCCACAGGCTCGGCCGTGCCGGAGCGCTGCTCGGCTTGCGGATCTGGGCACGACGAGGAAGCCGCCGTGCTCTCTGCAGTCGCCCTGTCGGGCGGCTCTGCGGGTCCGCCGGCCTCTTCCCCGCGGCGAAAACGCCCTGCCGAGGAGCGCGCCGGCCAGTCGCTGCCTTCCTAAATGTCTCTTACGGACCCAGTCCTTGGGGCGGTTGAACGGAACCCCACCGAGGCCGCTGCACGCGTTAAGCTTTCCGTGCAGCGCCGGGGGGTAGGCGGCATAAAACGGAATCCCCGGGCGGTTGGTTGCACCTCGCTACCTGCGGGGGATCCCTGCGCACCGAGGGGGCTGGGGCGGCCGCACGGAGCTCGGGCAGCAGCGGTCGCCAACGAGCGGCTGCGCCCCTGTCCCTGGCGAAGGGCCGGGGCCGGGCTGCGGCAGCCGCCGCTCGGCTGGAGTTCTGGTGGGGCGGGGAAGCGGTAGCCGGGCCAGAAGGCAGCTCTCATTTATTTAACGGGAGCGGCGGCCGACTTTGAATCCGCTCCGATCAGGAGAGAGAAAGAAGGGCCTTTGATAGCTGATATGAAAGCTTAGTGAGAAAAATCGAGAAGTAATTTACCACGTATCTAAAATGCCTCGCAACAGCTTGTAATGCTGTTTGGTGGCATTTCTAAGTGTACCAGGAGCAGGTAGAACCGGAATTGTTGAATTGTTAAATTTCCTTTTGAAAAGGATTTTTTTGCTTCATAAAAAACGCGACGTTGCCCTTTTTCATTATGGAGAAAATGTAGCTCCTTTTAAGTGAAAGGGAAGACTCTAGAGAAGCAATTTTGGAGAGAGAGCAGTTGAATGGCTCCTCTTCCGAGCCCCGGTTTGCACGTCCAATGCCTCTGTGAGCCAGCTGTAATTATATTTAGATCTTGTATTCCAGCGAAAAAGGGGCGCTCCCTGAAGTCCAGGAGCGGCGCACAAACAAAATTCTGGCCGTGAATCTAAACAGCTCCCGCTTTAGAAGCTAATTCCAACTGTAGCTTCCAGGTGACTTGATGCACTTAAAAAACAGGCCCCGAAAATAAGTCCCCTTTTTAATGAGCTCTGCCTAGATACGCTTCGCTCGCTGCTGTCCCGCGGGGGACGGTCTGCGCGGCGCCCACGCTGCGTTAACATCTTGGCCGTGTAACAGAAAGTCAGCGTTTTTGCCGCTCCGCAAGCTTACGATGCCAGGTTTCCAAATGACCAGTGACGGTGGTGTCTCTTCATGGGAAGTTTGGGGGTTTTTGGGGTGGTTTTTTTTTTTGCCTTCGATAATGCATCTGCTTGAGCAGCCAGCAGCGAGAGTAAATTATCGCAAGTGCCAGCCTTCGATAGTAACGCTGCGCTGTCCCTCGTTCCAGTAGCTCTCTGTGACCTCCAGACACTGGTTTGCCCTGGAACCTGTGCTGACAAGTTCGCTCACCCAGACGCTCTGTCCTCCCGCGGACCCCCCAACATTCGCCCAAACTCAAGCCAAACCAAAAGCAACAGCTTTACGGGCAGCGTTGGCTGCCTTTTGTGCCCACGAGAGTGTGTCTCGCCTAACTGCTTTATCAGCTTGGAGGATAGATAATTTTTCCATAAACGCATTAAATTGGGGCAAATTAAAAAAAAAAAAAAAGGGGTTTTTTCAGATTTTTTTGCAGAAGATACAGCCTGCAGTCTGCACGTACAGATGCCTTACGGTGTTGAAATGCAACCCGCACTGTTCACTAATTGATAAATTGCCGGGCTTGTCAACATGACCCCAAAAAAGATTGAATTTCGTGGAAAATTGGAAGACGATTTTACATTGCTCTAAGCATACCGAACCGAAATCAAACTGGACTAAATTGAGAAATTGCCCCCCCCCCCCGCCCCCGGTGATTAAAAGACAGAGTTTGGGGGTCTTTGCATGCTGTTATGAATGAGTGATTTTGATTCCATGTTTCGTGTGCCAACAGTGTAGACTGAGGAACGTTTCTGTCTGTAATAAAGGAAATTATTGCAATTCTGTCATACCAGTTACTCTGCCCAAACCGGCAGAAGGTGGCAAGTGATTGACGCATTATTTCCCCCCCCCCAAGAAATTTATCCTCAGTTCTTAAGTGTGCTGTTTTTTGTCACTCGAGAAACGCAGAGAAAAATGAGTTTGTTTTTACTTGTAAGGCTTTACTCAGTTGCCCAATTCGGCAGAGGAGCTGGACTATGGGGATCTCTCAGGTAAGGGCTAGTACGTAGGTAAACCGCTGCTCTTCTGCGCTAGATACTGATTCCACTCTGATTTCTGCATCTTGGCCATGTTGCATTGTATAGTTGCTGTGCTGTAGCCATTCCTCCAACGCACGGTCTCGCAGCTTGCTGTACGCTGTTTTCTGTTGGGATTTTCCTTCCTGTGTTTTTTTGGTTTTTTGGTTTTGTTTTTTTTTTTTGATTTTGGCACCCATCTCTGTGTGGCACCCTCGAAAACGGGGCGGGAGGCGTGCAGCGCGGCGAGGCTTGCCTTTTCAGGTTGCCTCCCAGCTGCTGGGCCGCAATTTTTTGAACGCTAATTTGGAGACCGGTCGAGTTGAAACTTGATGTTACTAAAACGTTCGGCTCTGCCGTATTGTGGGAAACCGTCCTTAAGAAACGCGGCCGGCGCTAAAGCTCGGCTGCTTGGTGATTTCTCATAATGCGAGTATCAGATCGGGGATAAAAAGGAGGTAATTGCTTTATCAGCAGAGGCAAAGCCAAGTAAACGGTTGGAACCTCTGTTTATCCACGCCGGACTGGAACTTCCAGAAATAGATCCTTCTCATCGGTCCTCGCAAATTAGCGCTGATCCGGATTGAGAAATCCGAGCATCTTCAGTGGATGCGGCTGGTACATGCAAAGCGGGGGTCGCATTCGGCGGTACAGATCCGATCGCCGTGTTTGGCTAGAGTTTTTAGAAATTCTCCCGCTCCTCCGAGCACCTCGGCAGACTCGCTTTACCCGCTGCGGCGAGCCCGGGGGCCGAGCCGGCCGTGCCCACGCCGGGAGGCCGGGGGCGGGCAGCGCAGCGCAGCGCAGCGGGACGAGCCTCCTCGGGAGGGCTGCGGTCCGACGCGGCTCCCGCCGGGGGCTCGAGCACGGAGCGAAAGCAGAGGCCCAAAAAGCCAGCCCCGAGGCCTCGCCCCCCTCCGCGAAGTGCTTCTGGTCCCATCAGATCGGCAGCATCTCTTCCCGGAAGCCACTGTAGGTATGCTTTGGCCAAGAGGTGAGAAATGATCGATTACTTTGGTATGTGTTCTAACCCCTGAGCGATACTAATAATTATTATTGCAGGCCTGGGCCACATCTCCTAGGTAAGAAGCACTAGGTGTCTGTTAAATATCACTGTGTGGATGGGAAATAATTGTTTTGCTCTGATAAGCTTTGTTGCTTTGTAAACTTGTCTTTTTTAAAGAAAAACGCCCCTTTTGGTGAAGGAAGAGAGGAAGGGGAAGCAATTCCGCCAAGGAATCCCTCAAAACGGGTGTGTGCTAGCAGCGCTGCCTTTCCCCGGAGCGGCTCTGCCCCGCGCGGTGCCAGCAGCCACGGGGACGCCGCGGCCGGCGGCTGGTGACTTCCCCCGAGCACCGAGCTCGCTGTTGCCGTTTTTCTGAATCTCGGCTGCAAGCCCAAATTTCCCCCAAAGCGTCCCGAAAGCGGCGCGAGCACAGCTGCTGCCGGCAGCGAGCACCCTTCGTGCGCTACCGTGCACCCAGTCTGGAGCACCCGTTTTGAGTACCGATATGGTTTTTTTCCCTAAGAATTTGACTGTTTTGCTTGTTGCTCCCCCGGTTGCTGAGGTGCACCCAACGGGCAGTCGCACCGAGTCCGGCATGCCGGTGTCACTAGAGAGCGGGCCCCTGGCAGTTCTCGCCTGCTAGCAAAGCCGCCCTCCACCCCATCGCCCGTGCCCGGGCTCCCGGGAAGCTGAAATAAGGTCCCGTTTGCGGGCGGGGGCCGGCAGGTTTGGGCTGTCGGAGGGGTGGTGCCGGTGAGTGCTGGAGCGGCGCTCGCGGGCAGGACCGGGCGCTGCCGCCGTGGTTGCTGGGCCCGCTGCTCCTTCCTGGTACCCCCGTCCCATGGGTGCTTCAGCGGCGGCTCTGCCAGCGGTGCGATTCCGTGACGCGCCCCTCGCCCTCCGCCCAGGGGGCCGCTTCCCAGAGCTGTGCTCGCTTCTCCCGCCCGCGAGCCTCCCCTCGCGCCGGGCGCCCCGAGGCCGGAGGGCACGGACGGGCTTGGCCACGGACGGGCTTGGCCTCGCGCGCGCCCCGCGCGGCGCCGGGACTCACCGGGACAGGCGCCGAGACGCTTGTGCGCTCCTTCTGCCTTGCTCCCCCCGAGCAAGGTGCTGGTACAGCTCCTGTAACGCAGGGAGCAATCAGGAAGGACCCGTGTCACCTTCACGTCGGGTTTGATTAACTAATCAAAACCTGATTAGCACCTTTGTTCAAGGGGGATGCTGAGGAATCGGTTGCTATCGATTGCGAGCGGGGCCCCATTTTCTAGCAGAGAGGAGTCTGAAGGAACAGCCAAGAAACATTGAGCGCCTGCCACAGCGATTAAATTTATTAAAACAAAGCGCATTATTTTTTATGAAGCGATCTTGAAATGGCTCGCTGAAGGGGAGCTCATTGATTGAAGGAGGAGGAACTCCTCGGATTTCTCTGGCTCAAATTAGGCCAAATTCAATTACAACACGACAGGCAGGTGAACGCTACTCTTTAGCAGCCCACCGCTAAATTCGGGTAGGGGTAGCGGGCTTAATGCTCCTCCATAGCGGTGAACAACATCATCGCTCATCCTGCCATACGCAGGCAGCGATTCCTGTCCTCCCACGCGGTGGATGAGTGTTTTACAGTGCTGCTGAAATACTGACGGCCTGTTCTGCCCCCAGCCCTGCCCGCCAGCACCCCAGCTTCCAGTCCTGCTCCAGCGTTTCGAAAGCTGCATTCCGCAGGAGAAGGCACCGCTAATTCAGTGGGGAAACGTTAGTGCTAGCTTCGAGTTTGCTCCCTCATAGCAAACAGGAGTTGTCGGTTTTCCAGCTCTTCAGAAGCGCGTTAGCACCTGCGTCCTGACCGGCAGTGATGTGCGGGAGCTTAAGTCACGTTGCTGTGTTAATTATTTAATAGTCCGAGGTTGAACAAGAGGAGGACGAGATCGCTAAGTTAGGAATTCTTCAAAGAAATTGATTTAGCTTTTCTTTTCCCTTCCTTGGCGCAGGTGTCACATTAGCACCTGGGGAGCAGGGTAGCTGTCAGTGGAGTTTGTGTGTGTAAACTTTAACGTATGCACACGCGCAAACTGAGCCCGCGGTGTCCTCCGTCGGCAGCCTGGGCTTAATTTTCACCCAGAAGTAGAAGGTGAATTTTTGCGGGAGCGCAGCAATAAATCCAAACATGCCCAAACTTAACATCTACACTGTTTTCGCAAAACTCTCCGGCAGTTTTCTGCTTTCACAGCACAAACGTGCATAGAACCGGTTGAGGGGCCGTTCGGAGCTGCCCCAGCCTGGTTCGGAGCGCTGGCCCGCGAACCGTAAGGCGGGAAGGGAGGCGAGGAGCCAGGACACACGACGGGAGCAGCCAGGCGGGAGGCGTTCGATCGGAACCGGCGCTTTGGCGAGCCGGAGCGGGGTCGGCTGCGTTCCTGCGTTGGCGGAGAGGGAGAGGAGGAGGAGGAGGAGGAGGAGAGGAGAGGAGAGGAGGAGAGGAGGAGGAGGAGGAGAGGAGAAGCCTTCCCGGGAGCAGTGCTGGAGCAGCCGGGGTGCGCGGCGGGAGCCGCCGTTCGGCGCAGCCGTAATCCCGGGAGTGGCGCGGGAAGGCGGGGCGCCCAGCTCGGCCCCGCTCCGGGAGGTCGCCGGGATGGAGCCGCGGGCACTCAAGGATGCTGGTGCGTGCAGAGGGCTCCCTCCCCACGGGCAACCCCAAACCTGGGGCTGTTGGAGCTTTCCGGGGCCCGGCTCTGACGACGCGGTGAGCACTGGGGTTAAAAATAAAGCGGTTTGACCCGAATAGCTCTGGGGCTTTTGGAGCAGGTATAAGCGAGATTTAATATATTAGCTAGTCCAGTCAGCCAGGTCCAGCGTGGTCTTAATCTTGAGATGCTGCCACTTGTGAAAAGAGTGGAAGCTAGAATATACATAGATACATAGATATATATATATGTATTTTAAAGCCTCGTTAAAGCAGAATTGAGTGGAACCTTTTTATTGAGTAGTTGGGAGGAGAACAGTCTTCCGTCTGCTAAACCTCGCTGTGAGCGTTGACCCACATTGTCAGGACACTGCTATTAAAACCTGCCAGCTTTTTTCATGCTCTTGAGACAGTCCACAGAAAGCTATTTTTAAACAATTAGATCTGCAAAAATGTTGGAAAACTTGAGATCATTAATACTTTTATTTTTTAAAAAAGCGTCTGCCCCTGCAAAAAAAAACCCCAAGCGCCAAGAGCCCGCAGGTTTAAACCGCAGATGTTAATTGACAGTAGTGACATGGAGGCTAGCCAGCTAACCGTCTGCTCCGTGCCGCTCCTGGCTCGGACGGAACAAGCTCTGTGAGTAGGGTGCTAGTTTGGCGACAAGTGGGAACTGGTCAAAAATGCCTTTCTTCTCTGCCTACGGAACGTTTCCTGAATTGCACTTCTTGTTTAAAGGAAAACTTCAGGGTTTGTGCTCGAGTGGTCTGATCTCTCTTTTGTTGATTACGTGAGCCGTTGGTTAAATTAACAAGCAAAAAGTAATTCAAAGGGACCAAAGGCGTCTTGGCCACCACTTGCAGTGGGACTACAGTGCTCTCTGCTGCTGTGTATAGATCTGCATCTCATGCAGACAACCTCAGTGCTGCACCAGATAAAATGAGGGCATCCCCCTAATGCAGGGCACAGCCGTGCTGTTCGCTCAGGGGAGGCATCACAGCGGTTTAAAAGAGAAATTGTTTGGTTTTTTTTTTTCTGCATCTACTCAGTTGTTGCGAGCGGGCCGTACCATTGCCGCTGCCGTTTCCCTTTAGGGTGCTGTGGCGTGGAGCGAGGCGGCACCCCCGAAGCGGGGCTCGGCCGAGGCGCAGAGCAGCCCCGGGGGTGTGCGTGTTGGCCCCGGCGGGGGCTGCACCCGCCCCTGCTCTCCCCTCCCGCCTTCCATCCCACCCGCCAGGGAAGCACGAGCAAACCAGAAGCAGATCCCTGGCAGAAAAATTCTGACTATTCGACTTAAAGGCCAGCGTGCTCCAATATATATTAACATCTTAATGGGAAAGCTCGGCATGTATACATTTACTACTCTCTGACAAGAGGGAATTAAATGTCAGAAGGATTTGTAGCATCTATAATTGAATTGGTGCTGAGAAAAGCAAATCTTAAGGAAGAATAACATATTAGGATTAGCAAATAATGTGGCATTTTGTCAGTTGCTGCCATCTCGTCTGTTCCCTCTTCAGTAATAAAGTCGTGATTTCTGTTTTAATCATAGATATGAAGCGGGAATAGCTTCTGTGAATTGGAGACGGCATTTTAAAGCAGATTCTGGCTTTTAAGGTCAAGCCTCCCTTTCTCGGCACAAATTCGGGGAACTATTCCTTGCTCCGTAGGCTTGGCACTTTTTTTTTTTTCTTTTTTTCTTTTTTTAATTGCCAAAGGAATAACGAGTGTTGGCAAATGGTGCTGGTGGCATGCAAAGCACTGCGCTCGGGGCGGTGGCCGGAGCGCGGGACGGGGTTGGCATCGGGCAGCTCCGGCGGAGCGTGGGGAGACGGGGGAGAGGAGGAGTTGAGGGAGGAGCACGGAGCGCGGGGAGGCTCCATCGGCGGGGAGTCTGAGTTCAGCATTGGAGTTCAGCGTTAGCAGTGCTGCGGGCATCGCTGGCTGTGCCAGGGGGATCGTGGTCCCTGGCCTCTGCGTGTCCTGTTATTGCCTTCCTGTTCGAACAGAAGGAAAAAAAAAAAAAAAAAAAAAAAAAAGGTGAGCGGCCTAAAACCTTTTCCAAAATTTGAATTTTTCTTAGAAATTGCAAGTAGTTTATCTTTGGGGAGCGATTCGATTCATCGTGGAAGAGCTGCAGGCGGGTTTGATTTTGCTGCGTGTGTTTTAATGCCGACGCCCGCGGCGCTCCTGGGGAGCCGGCGTCCCGCGCGTTCGCGGCAGAGCTGTTCCCCTCTCTCGCTGATCCTGGGCAGATATACATATATTACCTTTTCAGTTAGGCAGGCGCTGTCAGCTGCCTCACAGACTCGGTACTAGATGGCTTGCCAACCGCTAGGAATCCTCACAACTTGTTCAATTCTTACACAGCACGTAAGCTCCAAGATGGACTACTTAGCCGCGCACATCGTCAAATAAACTAGTGGCTGGCACTCCGCAGAGGCCTTTTTTAGCAGAAATAATTAAGAAAAATGGCCCTGCGAGTCCCAGCAGATGAAATCATCCTTCGTAAGCTGTTCTGGCCAGAGCTATTTGCCACACTTAATGCCAAAGCCCCTTCGGAGGGAAGCACCACGTCCCTGCTCCCCGCGTGGTTGTGAACAGAAGGGACGCACGGAGGCTGCCGCTGCCGGGACGAGCGCACCGAGCCAGCCTCTTGCCAGAACTCTAATTTATGGTGATTAAGAAAAAATGCCTCTTGATGTAAAATCCTGCTCCAAGCACATTACGGAGCCGTAACTCAGCGTGTTTATTCCCCTCAGCTGTTCCAGACGTCAACAAGACATTCATCCCCCCGCTCTGGGATGCTGCCGGCTCCTCCTTAGCACAGCTGAAGCGGAACTGGGTGCTGAGTTTCCAAAAAAAAATATTTGTTTCAAAAGGAGTGGAGCTTGCCTAGAGCGGCTGCTCCAGCGGACGAGCCGGGTTTCGAGGACGAGCCAGTCCTTATAGGCCCGGATTAGCGGAGGCGAAAGCCGCAGCGAGAAGGCTGTGCCTGCCGGAGCGGCGGCTGCCCGGAACGCCCGGCGCCGCGGGTTTTTCCCCAGCTGCTCCCCTGGGCAGGCGGCAGAGGCTTTGCCCGGGCGAGGTGGGCGGCCGGGCACGGTGCTGCGCTTCCCCGGGCGCCTTTGCCGGCGGCGAGCGGGGACGTTGGGGCGCCTGCCGGAGCGGGGGGTGCCGGGAAGCGACCCCGGTAGGCGCTGCGCCTGCGGGGCCGGGTGCGAGCAGTCCCTCCCCGCGCGTGCGCTCGCGCTGCTCTGGCACGCTCTTCCCGCAGCCGAGCGACCCGGGCGCGGAGGCTGCGGCAGGCAATGCGCTCGGTCTGCGGGGGAAGCTTTTTTTGGGCCCGTTTTCCAGCTGCTGGAAGGGACTCCCATCGCGGTGCCCTCCGCCGTGGGCCTGAACGCCGTGCCCCGGCCCAGCTCCCGCTTTTAGAAGTTACTCCAGGAAACACTGGAAGGGGTGTATTTCTTAAATTGTTTTAATTAAAAGGCGCTTTATGGTGCTCTCAGTCACGACTTATTTACTTAGGTCCCTCGGTCCTTAATCTTGGAGCAGAATTGGAAATATCGATAGAGAGCGTAAATCCCGGGCTGCTGCTCGAAAGCTTTGTATCAGGTTTCAGCTCAAAAGAGCACCATTACCTTTAGCTGTCACAGATCTGTACGCTTGATCGATAAACTTCAAATATTATTAGAGGTGGAGGCTTCAGAGATTTGCTCTGTTCTTTGGAGGGAGACGGAGATAAATCTTTCTTAAAAATTGACTTGCATTTGCACTCTCAGTCTTCCTGGTAAAATGCATTTCTCTTAGGTGTCTGGGCAACTGCATGCAGGACAGATTTATAGGCCATGTGCTTCTTGTAGTGAAAGATTTAAATGGTATATCCTTCACATATGACTTCACAAATCATGTAAAGTTAAAAGATTTTTACCGTTTCTGTTGCTGCTGTGCTTAAATTGTAAGGTATGGCCAGTAAATCATTTTAATGGAGGTGTCGCGCTTGACTCAATAAAAAAAAAAGAGACAATGGTTTAGCTTCTGTTCCAAAATGTTAATGTATTAATCAACGGGAGAATAATTGTTTTTTACTCTGTTATAAATCTCGGTTGCCATTAGGATTGCAGCGAGGGTTGATGTAGCTGCGTTCTTAAATTAAAATTGTTTACACTGCTATACATTCATTTTACACGGCCATAGCTCATTCTGGGTTCATTTCGGAGTTGCTCCTCCGCCAAATAAGTCATTCCTCTCCCGGGTGACGGCGTCCTAAGGGAGCGGAGCTTATAAACGAGAACTGATTGCGAGGTGAGGAGTTAAAGAAATGAAATAAAGCGGTTGGAGGCACTGCACAATTATCGCTCGCTGTCTGCTTTTGAGGAGGTTGCCGTAGTGTGGGTGAGGAGTTTTGTGTCTCCGGACGCCGTGGACAGCGCTGAACAGCAAAGGTCCTGTGGAACGATGTCACCTCGTGGGGCGGGGGGAGAGGGCGCCTGGAAACGCGCTGACCGCGCCGGGCGGGTGGGGGTTTGGCCAAGGGGGTTGCGGGGCTGACGGGGGAGTGGTTTCAACAGGGCGCTTGCTAATGATGTTTCTCCAGAGCTAACGACTCATACTCCCGTTCTGTACTGCTGTTCCCTGCGCCCCCATCCCCCGGGGAGGTTGAGAACCGGGGAGCTTTCCGGGGAAATTTCCCCAAATCCATACCCACCACCGACTCCATCTCTCCTCTCCCCCTCCCAGCTGCCTTCCATGCGCGTAGTCCTAGTGCCGCTGCTTGTAGTGGGAAGCGCCTCGCGAGTCGAGCCACCAGATCAGTTCGGCTCTGGACAGAGTTCCTCTGCCCGAACTCATCTGCCTAGATGGCTCCGTGCTTCACCCCTTTTCCTTTCGAGAGCGCACGGGTGGCTTTTCCAATCCTGAGAGCAGCTGCAGCCAGACCCTTCGCAGTGCCTCGTAATAAGTCCCGAATTCTTATTCCTCTTCTGATCTCAACAGATTCTCGCGCAGGTGAGGAAGGGGCAATACGGAGCGTGGACCATGCGGTGGTTGGTGGCGTCGTGGCCGTGGTCGTGTTTGCCATGCTTTGCCTGCTCATCATTTTAGGGCGATATTTTGCCAGACATAAAGGTAAGACAACGGCCGGAACGGCAAAACGAGAGGGCGCGGCCCGTGCGTCCCTTGGCTCGTGACGTCGCCCTGTTGTCCTGATGCGAGAGACCCCTTTGTTGCTCTGGAAGAATGTCTCCGGAGAGCCCCTTGGAACGGGCGGGGGAGGCGGGAGGGCTGCGCAGCCCCGGGGCTCGCGGGCGAGGGCAGCAGGGAGGCCCCGTCCCTCCCGAGGCGTCTTGGCAGCGGGTAGCCGGGCGGTGACGGGACGGAGCTGCGGGGAGCTACGCCAGCTCGCCTCGGCCCCGCAGCCCGCCCGTCAGCCGCAGATTTGGGGGTCCCGCTGCACAAGCCGGTCGACCCGAGCCGGCGCGTGTGTGCCACGCCAGCTTGGCCTGGTGCAGAACGGCCCGTTCGGGGAGCTTGTTCCCACTTCCAGAGCAAACCGGGACCCACGCCTAGAGCTGGGGCCAGTCCCCTGCGTGTCTGTGTTTGTACGAAGGGGCTGAATGTTGACTGGGGTTCGCTGAGTATGTGTGGAGAAGCCAACAGACGGTGAGAGGCTGGCTACAGCCACAGCCGGGACGGAGGGAATCACGCTAGGCAGAGAGGAGAAAGGGAGAAAAAAAAAAAAAAAAAAAAACACAAAAGCGTGTTAGGGGAGAGAGGCATTAGAGGTGAAAGATTGGTCTCCTCTAAGTCAAGCATATAAAATGCAATTTTACCAATATTTGTGTGCTTCTGAGAGGGGGAGATAGCTGTGACCTACCGTCTTTTCGGAGGAGGACGCTGCGGGGAGCGGCGCGCGGTCGCGTGTCGGAGCGGGGACGTCGGCTCCCCGGTGCCGGGTCAGCCGGGGGGTCTCGGGGCCCCCGCACCCCCCCTCGGCAGCCGGCCTTGTCGCTGGCGGCGTTCCTCTTGCGCGCCCCAGCCTGGTCTTTCCGCGACCTGCGGCTTTTCCTCCCTCCCCGCTCGCGGCTTCCTCGCGGAGGCCTCCGACGAGTCACGCAACCTCCCGCTTCCCTTTCAGGTACATACTTCACTCACGAAGCCAAAGGAGCAGATGATGCGGCCGACGCAGACACAGCCATCATCAATGCAGAAGGAGGACAAAACAACTCCGAGGAAAAGAAAGAGTACTTCATCTAGAGCAGCCTTGGTTTCTATGAGGTGTCCAACCGTGGACGGTTACTACTGGCCCTATTTAAACGCTCAAGAGACAGTGATATCGGAAGTTGCAACCAGCTTGTGTCTTTTTTTTTTTAGAGAAAAAAAAAAAGCAAATGGGTGGAAAGTCGTGAGGCTGGGAGGGTCCGGGATTTGCTGTGTAAAAATATTCCGCGTAAAGTACACTCTGCTGTTCGACACCTCAGTTTGTTTGGGTTTTCTTTTTTTGGCCAAGTCCAGCTTGGATTTAGTTTAGTGAAGTCATTTGCAGAAGATTCTGTGCCTTGTTTTAATTTCTGTTCGTTCGGGTCGGGGGGAGGCTGGGAAGAAGAGGGGCTTCTGTGCGCTAGTTCCCTTCGGGTTTCTGTGGCTCTTCGTTTCCCCTTTCCTGTTCTCTTTCTGGAGTTGCCTGCTGGGACCCCGGGGAGTAGGTGGGTTTCTTGGAAGGTGTTTCTCTTTCTGTTTCTCTTCACCGTTTTCCGTTCAGAACTCGAGCTCATCTGAGGAGAACCAGCACATTTTAGATTCCGTAGTTTGCAGTTCAGTGTGCCCATCTCCCATCCCCTCTTATCGTCGTGAAGGCTGGGATGAACCGGCGACGAGAACCCCTTTGTGGCTGCCCGTCCTCCAGGTGCTCGCGGTGGTGGCGACCGGCAGATGGGCCGGAGCTGGGCCGGGGGCCGAGCCTGCCCCCCGCGCCCCGCCGGCCCCTTCCCTCGCCCAGCGCCCCGGCCCGGCTCTCCCCGGCTGGCTGGGGACGGCAGAGCCCTCCCGGGGCTGGGGACCCTCCACGGGACGCGGCGGGGAGGGCGGCCCCCCACTCCCCCCCCAGCGCGCGTAGAGCCGAGACCCGAGAGCGGCCGGACAAGCAAAACTGCCTTTTTTTTTTTTTCCTACCCGCTGAGTAAAACGTGGGAACTCGCGTTAAAAACGACAGTGCTAACTGACTTACAAAGCCATAGGTGAAAAGGAGAATCTAGGTAAATTAGAATCGTCAGTGACAGGTAGCAGACCGCAGTGAGAAGACGGTATTAAAGTTATATATGCTGACTTTTTTTTGGTGAGTAATCTTGGATTTCGAGCGATGCTTTTTTTTTTTTTTTTTTTTTACTGTGTTTCTGTGGAAAACGTATCCTGATTTATTTAAGGGAAGCGGTAATCTTAGCGTCGGGTTCGGGGGTTTTTTAGGGGTTTCGGGGGGAGCGTTTCCGTGAGGTTTTTTTGTTGTTGTTGTTTTTTCTTTTTCTTTTTTTTTTTTTTTTTACCTTGTTGTTTTCGGCAGAACCATTACAGTGCGGGAGTCCTTTGGGAGCGGGACGGCCGGCCGGCAGCGCGCGCGTCCCGTCTCCAGCAGTATTCTGTCTTTCCCCTTGTCACGAGGAGAACCTCGCCGAAGTACCCTTTTTTGTCCCGAGCAGATTCTGTCGAGCGCAGCTCTTTTCTGAGCCTTCGGCACCATTGCCAAACCCCATCGTGGTGAGAAGCAGTCAGCATGTTGGAGTTCGGGGGGGGCGTGTTTACCCGTCACCGGTCGCGGGATTGGCATCCTGGTTTTGAGCAGCCCATCTTTGTTTTGGAAGTGTACCGTAGTGCAGTGTTACCGATGTAACTTTGACTTACAATGTTGACATGTCTCAGGTTCATGTGTTTTGATTGGTGTTTTCCGTCTCAGGTAGATTGCAAAATTTCGGCCCCACGCATTGGAGAAAAAAAAATAAAGAAAAACAGGATAAAAAAAAAAAAAAACAGGAAATTACGAATTTTAGTTGTATATTGGTTTATGTATTTTTTCTTCAGTATACAGTGCACTGTTTGAAATGTATTGTTGAGTATTACTTTGTACAGCTTTAGATCATTAGGATTTTGAAGCGTGAAGAAAGAACAACCTTGTTTAAAGAAATATTACAAATGAAGGACACGGAACTGATGATAAACAACCTTGTTCTTTATTCACCCGACCTTTTTCTTTTTTCCCCTTAGGCCAGTTCTGTTTTAAGGTGTCCATGGAAGATGTTACAATGTAAGAAAATACATATCCATCTGCTCCCATTCACATTTTGTATTGGTTCATGTATACCATTTTTACAAAGGAAAAGAAGTACTATAAAATATCTGTCTTCTTAATAAAAAAAAAATTAATGTTACAAAACCAAACCTCATTTTTGCCCTCTTTATCCCCGGCCGTCGCGGCGGACACCGTGGTCGCAGCGACCTTCCCCCTCGGCGGGGCCCGGCGAAGGAGTCGGCGCTGAGCAGGCACCGCGCGGTCCCGGCGGCTCGGAGCAGAGCCCGGCGCCTCGCCGGCGCGCCGCGGGCCATGGCCGGCCGGGCCAGGGCGTGCCGGCCGGCGGCGGCGAGGAGTTCCGCGCGTGCGGAGAGCCGCCCTCCCGCGACAGGGCCCGCACCCTTGGCCGAGGAGGAGGAGGCGGCGGCTGCAGGGCGCCGAGGGGCTGCCTCGTGCGGGGGGTCCCCGCCGAGCTCTGCCGCAGCCTGAAGTCTCCCGCAAGGGACGTCGTCTCGGGGTCGTTAATCGCCAGACTGAACCTTGCTGGGAGCGGCTGGAAGTCCGGCCTGAAGTCGGCAACGCTGCGGTTGCATCTTCTGGCGCTGTTTACCCTGCACTGCTGGTTACTTAAGGGGAAAATTGATCGGTAACTGATATTTCAATCTTCCCGAGCTGCGGGGAGGGGGGCGGCCCGATGCGCAGGCTTTTAGTAGCGGACGAATGCTGAAATCCTGTCACGGTAGGTGAGTGTTGAAAGAGGTGACCCCCTCCAGCCCATTCCTGCCTCCTGTTCTGGTCGCTGCCAGAATTTCTTGCTTCTCCCTCTAAAACGCTCGGGGCTTCCGAATCGTACTGCGTGGCGCCCATTGCCCTCGGCGGAGCCGCCGATGAGCCCGGCGCTCGTTCCTCCCCCAACGCTGCCCTTGGCCGCAGCTCCCAAAATCGGGCTGCGAGGCAGCTGCGGCGCCCAAATTAGAAGCATCAATCTTTGATGCTTCGGACAAAGGCGGTGGAGAAAAACAATTGCTTTCCGCTGAGGAGCTGCTACCGGGAGACGCTGCCATAATGACTGTATGTAAACACAGTGTACTGTACTGCGAGGAGCTGTACGCTCCTGTGCCGAAGGCTGCTGCTGCTGCTCGAAGGGCAGCGTTCAGCTCTCTTGAGCACTTGGTACATTTAATATGGTTATGTGAGAAATAACATTTTTCTGAGTGAAAATATAACGCTGAGGAAAAAAACTGTAGGGCAAAGCAGAAAAAGCAGCGATTCCTCTTCTTCTACGGAACAGATAGGAAGCTAGTTACCTTGGAGGACTATTTTTTAATTGTTTCAATGCACAAGGGAGTTTCAAACCCCAGGTCCCCGCTGCGGGCTCACGGTGCTTTTTTCGTCCTCAAGCCAGAGCTAATTGCGCCACACGTTTGCGGCGTCAACAGCAGCTCACGGCGCTTGACCTCCTTCCACACCCGGCGCTTCTCCCCCTTTCCCTGGACCCCTTGCGCTGCTGATAATTGAGGTGGTGGCACTTCCACGCGGCACGGCTCGCATAGAGTGATTGCCCCGGTTATTGCTTAGCCGCATTCAGTAATGGCATCTGGTGCATTTTGACTGGAAACACCACCAGTCGGGGAGCGGGGGGGCCAGCGCCCTGCGAGCGGAGCATCCCGGGGCTGCGGTCAGTGCTGGCGGTCCCGGCTCGTCCCGGGGGGACACTCGGGTGACACACGGACAGGGACCGCAGCGGGAACGCCACCACCTCGGCTGCCCCGCGCTCCCTTCGGCGCGAGGCGCCTCACCCCTCCCTCTCTGCGCCTTGAAATTGGGGAGAGGCTCTTTGGAACTCCTAATTTGACGCGCCGTGTTGCTCGAGCCGACACCCCTCCCCGAGGGCCTCGGCCCGGGATTAATGCTGTGGTCTGCCTCCCAACGCAGCCCTGCTGCTGCTGTTCGGTTGCAGCAACTTTCAATAATTTAGTATGCTCGGAGGCGATCCGCCGCGCGCGGCGGCAAAGCCGAGCCTGCAAGAGCAGAGCCCGGCTGCGGCCGGAGCTGGGAGAGGACAGCGGAGGTGCCTTTGGTTATGGCCGCTTCTCGTTTCCAGCGTTAAACCCGTAAAAGCGTGATTGAACATTAATAGCCTGTTCAGAATCCAGTTGTGAGCACTGCTCGGTGAAACGGCTGCCAGCCGCAGCTTTCGTGAGGGCAAAGCGGCCGCGCGCGGGAGGTTCAGGATTTATTTCTGGCCGTGTGTGGCTCGCGCCTCCCGTCCCCGATTCGGGCCGTCCCTCGCTGTCTGTGGCTCTGCCAGCGCCTCTGTGCTGCGAAGGCAACGGGCTTGGCTTTGCTCTCGGGCTGTTTACCTTCTGCGAGCGCCGAGCGGGGGCCTTTGCCAAGGCTTTGGATCCCCGTCCTCGAACGGCCCGGCCGGTTCCCCAGTCATCCGCATTAAACCGCCGCTGCCTTTAATCTTGGCAATTTCATGCCGCAGCATCCATCTGTTTGGGAAGGAAACCCAGACGGGGAGTGCTGCTTGCTAAGATCACAGATTTACTTAGCTGCAGCTTCCAAAGGTTCGTATTTCTGCCCGGTTCGGTCCCTGGGAAGGAGGGGGGCTGCGTGGACAGCCGGAGCTGAACCCGTCCTCTCGGGCACCCCCGCCTTCTGCCAGCATCCCACATCTGACTGCAGTTACACCGCAAGCGGCTGCATTAGCCATTTGTCCGGCCATTTAGCGCCACGCAGAGAGCTAAATCTGCCCAGAAGCCTCCTCGAGCTCATTTCCTAGGGCTTAAGAAGTTGCAGCGGCGTTCCCCGCGTCCTGGGTCGCGCACCCAAAGCCCGTCCTTTCGGCGTCTGCCATGTAGAGCGTGCCAGCCCAGCAGGCTCAGCACCCAGGCAGGTCTCAGCTTCTAACAAGCTTCCTCTGGCCTCGGCGCTTCTCAGAAATTGCACAATTAAAGTATGTAATTTATCCTATCGGTGCTCCAAATCTTGCGGGATTCTTTCCCAGAAACACCCGCGACTGCGAGGCCGTAACCGGCAGCTGAACACGAGCGTCTGAGCCCCAAATGCAGCCCCCGGCTGTGCGGGGAGCCGGCCTGCGAAGCCTCTTCCGTTAAAAGGACCCGAGGACACCTCTGTATTCTAGGAAATTGCAGAAAATGACCAGTAGTGAAGATAAGAATGTGGCGTTTGTCCCGAACTTAAACAATTTCCCAAGTTGCTTAAGTTGTTTGCTCCTAATTGCACAATTATTTTATTAGGTTGGCAACGCAATTGTTGATTTATCTTTAACTCAATGCAGGAAGGAGTTATTTTAACTTAATAAACGATTCTGACTGGCATAATTACCGCCTTTTCTGCCAGGCTGGTGCTGATGAAAGTCTCCGCTCTGAATGCTTACGCCAGATAAAGTAACTGGTGATGAACGACGCCGACCCTACGTCGGGCAGGACGCGCCTGAATCGGGGGCTCGGCCGCTGCGAGAAGGGAGCGGGGAGCTGGGCGAGGTGCGGCCGAGGGGCGCGCAGCCCAGCGCCTGCCCCCGGGCGAGGAGCCTTTCCTCACGAACCCATCCCACCTTCGAGGCAGCGGCCGGTGGCGTGCCGCGTGGGATAATACCCGCGCCGGGCGGCATCGACGGCAGGGGTGTGCCCCCCGCGACACCCCCCTCCCGGGGCCGGGTCCTCGCTCGGGGTGGGAGGGGAGCGGCGGTGCTGGGAGCGGTGAAGCGGTGAACTCAGCCTCTAGGCAATGGTCTCAGCGCACGAGTTGGGCTGAGCTTTGCTCGAGTCCTGCGCGCCCGGGGAGAGCGACTCTGCGCTGAACGGGGCCGTAAGTCTGGTGGTTCCAATTCCCCAACTTGCCACAGATGATCTCCCCCCGCACACGTCACCCTCTTCTGAGTTTAAATCAGCGCGACTTTATCTGGGTGTATAATTTCAGTGACGGGAAAAAAATAAATTCCATCTAAGAAGCAACACCCGAGCTAGTGTTTTAACGTCTGAATTAGTGCAACCAAGAAAACAGGTTCAGACTAGTGGCCAATAAAGGTTTAAACTAGCCTTGTCCTATTTGGCAAGGCCGCCGTGGGGACGTTCCCTGCTGCACATCAGAGGTCTTTCCCGACAACTACGACTATGTAGTCAGCAGGGTGGCGGCTTTTTAACTGCGGCTCGTAGGGAAGCTCCCAGAAAGGGGATTCTGCTCCCCGCTCACCCCTCACGGCATGGCCTCTCCCTCCTTCATGCCGTTTCCCTCCTGCTCGGTTGCCTGCGGGGCCCGGGTGGACAGACGGACAGACGGAATTCTGCCCCGAAGCGCTCGCCTGCGCCTCGCAGAGACGTGCAGGTGCTGACTGCAGAGCTCTCCGTCCCTTTTCCCTGTCAGCTAAGGCGTAGCTAGACCGACAGCGGGTCTGGCCCGCGTGCCCCTGCCCATCCCCTCCGCAGCCTCTGTGCTCCCGCTCCGGTTTCTTACCCCGTTCTGCAGGAGAGCAGCGCTGCCGTGAGTAATAGAGTAGGGCAGGTAGAGTAGGACCAGGGGATATCACTAGGATATGGGCAGATGTAACTCAGCCCATCCTCAATCCTAAAATCAAAGGGGGGCAGGATCTGCGGGCGCTTGGCAGCCTGCGTGGAGTCTGGGGGAAACCCTGACCCCCGGACAAGAAGGGATCTGAGCCCTTTCCAGCGTGAGGGTGTTCAGCAGCCCCGCGGGGTTTCATTCCCGTCCTAGGACTGTGCTGTAAGCGCAACCCACGGCTGCCTTTCCCCGCCACCCCCAGCTCCAGGCTCTGTAGAGCTGCACGAGGCTTCCCGCACCCCGGAGAGCAGGGGACCCCCCCACTCCTGCCTAAAGCTCCACTCACAGAGACCCCCCGTGCCCTTCAGCGCTTTGCTGGGCTGGAGTCTTTCTCGTCTGCTTCCCTTTCGCTCCCTGCGAGGGGAGGAACGTTTTCCCCATCTTGGAGCACAAAGTGGGAAGGAGCCGCCAGCCTCTGAGAGGATCCTGAGACACAAAGTGCTGGGGAAGCGTAGGGACTATTTTGAAGACCTGCTGGTGCTTTCCAAGGCTCCATTACGTCCTCCCTTAGCGCCTGGAAATCCTGTTTTCCTCCGCGTGGCTTAAACAAAGCCTTGC